TAGGAACAGCTTCTACCCTGAGGCTGTTAGACTCATGAATCTCTAACCAGAATAATCACTGTGAAGAATCACATCATGTTGCTGCTGATCTGTTTCATGTTGCTGCTGATCTGTTTCATGTTGCTGCTGATCTGTTTCATGTTGATGTGTTCATGCGTGCTCATCTGCTCACACAGACTCATGTTCGTGCTGCTGTTCGGGGTATTGTGTTTATTGTTTTTATGCTACTAGTGCTTAGTGTATTTTTAGTTGATGTTTTTCTTAGTTCATATCTTAGATGTTATTACTGTTTTTCTTTGACATTTTATTGTTGGATGTAACTGGGACCCTGAGTACATAATTTTGTTCCACCACATGTACCACATGTGGCGCGAATGACAATAAAAGAAACTCTGAATCTCTGAAGTATTACAAGAATAAAGTTGTATTAAGAGAATAAAGTCATAGTATTAAGAGAATAAAGTCATAGTATTAAGAGAATAAAGTCATAGTATTAAGAGAATAAAGTCATAATATTACGAGAATAAAGTTGTACGTATTTGAATGAAACAACAAAATCTCTTTGAATGGCACGCAGATGTAACCACCTATAGACTTGCAGTCGACCACTGCCAGAAAGCTCCTCTTCCACAAAAGTAATATCTTTCAAATATGTGTGGTTCTTTCTACGAAACAGAGTCTTTTGCATCAATGCATCGTTTCAAAGTTCTGATACTGATAATAATCTGATGCTGATGTGCTCACAGATTAAGTATTCCCTTATTTGTAAAACCAATACCAAAGTATAACTTAATAAGATGCTCAACATTTTTCATTTTACCGCAGTTGTAAAACTTCATGTCAGAGTTCTGATAATATTACGACTTTATTCTGGTAATATTATGAGTTTATTCTGGTAATATTAAGAGTTTATTCTGGTAATATTATGAGTTTATTCACATATTATCCCTTTATTCTCTTATTGTTTCTACTTTATTCTCATAAAACTACGACTTTATTCTTGTGACATTATGACTTTATTTTCGTAATTTTATGACTTTTTTCTTGTAATGTACTTTTTTCATAATGTAATTATTTTTTTTTTTTTAGCATGGTCCTAATATGTCGTTGTGTGTCTTTAATGAAAAATACCCCATTTTTAAAAGTATAAAAAT